ACCTTAAAATGTAATGCCAGAGAATGCAAAAACAAATCCATTAATTATTACTAATTTCAGTCTGTCTTGATTTTCTGATTTTAGGGTAGGGTCGAGAAAGAGAGAAAAAAGAACACCAAGTTGGGTGGGTAGGGAAGTGAAGAGAGTCTGGGAGGAATTGGAGAAAATGGAAGAATATGATTAAAATATATGAAAAAATAATAAAACTTACTAAGAGACTCATGCAGACAATTTGTGACATGAATCTTACTAATTATCAGATAAATAACAGGAGGTGGGTTTATCTCTTTTTATAGATGAATACAAGCAACTAGAGGTATAATGAAGCAAATCAACTTTAATATGTTTTCAGGGAGTCACCGGAAGAAGTAAGACTGTAATTCACATTGACATTATTTTTATATTAAGGAATAACTACCCGTGAGAGGGATGACTTTAAAGGGTAAATCTAATAATTATTATAAATCTCTTCTAAAACTCCACAGATGACTTTAACACACATTTTAATCGATTGCATGCTTAAAAGGAGTGGACACAAACATTCTCCTGAAATGGAATACACCGTTACTGTTATGACATCACTAACTTTAACCATAGATTTGAAACAGTCGGGAAAGGAGGGAAGAGGGCAGAAATCTGTATCTGACGGAATAATAAAAAAGTCTACACTCAGTCAGAGTCACAGCTGGAGTGAATTTAAGTCACCTTGTCCTCTTGTTCACTCTTGTCTAGCACAAAAATAAAATGATGGATGCTTATACTTAGATTACCATTGAAATCTTCTCCTGCTAGTCATGGTGACATTCCCAACTGTGTAGGACTTACCATGAAAGTGATGGAATATAAATGTAGATTCTTTCAAAATATTTTAAATTATTTTTGAAAACTTGACTACAAAATGACATACTTGAATTGTGATATCCAACAAGTGTTAGCAGGTTATTTATTTCTTAGCAGGGAGAAGGTGGGCTAGGGTTAAAATAAATCTTGGATGATTTCAGAGAGCGAGGTGAGCCGCTACAAAGAAAAGACGGTGTAGTTTATTTTAGTGGGTGCTCTCGTGATTCTTCACATGTGCAAATAGGTACCGCATTTTTATTAAAGAAAATGAAATCTACCAATATTAGTGATCTCTAACCAAGTCTCCCAAGTTCTAAGTTCAGTGAATTTCAATAATTCTTTACTAAAAACATAATTTCTTCCAAGCAACTGCCCTTCAAGTATCCAAGTTCTATTCAAAAGTCATAGAATTGGGATTACATTGAACTAGCTGAAGATTCTTTTTAAATATGTAAAAACAATGCTCTTCAAGTTCTTAAATATAACCCTTTGTCACTGATCAATCTACCTATCGCTGTTAGAAATATTTGAAATTGTATAGCTTGCATTCAAGTTAAATACATCTACTAAGAAGACCAAATAAGATGTAACAGAAATGCTTAGAAACACAAACCTAGAAGATTTTTCATTCATGCACAAAACACTGTGAAATGTAAAGGATACAATGATTGTTTAATTGTGTTGGTATATTTTTAAGTTCATTTCAAAGGTGGCCCATATTGTTCAATATGGAAAATGGGAGAGGAGCTATCGGGCAATAGCATAAAAATGTATTTATTTCCATGATTTTGAAGGTAGTATTTAAAATTACTTCTGGTTCCAAACATGTGAAATACTCCCCCTAGGAACTGAAATACATAGACATATGTATCAGTTGTGGAACTTGATTTATCCTGTACACGTATACGGCAAGCACTATTTTTTAAAACCCATTCACAGTGTCAGAAGAGAAAGTTAAGTTAAAAATTCAGAATAAATCATGAAAATCACCTGTCCTAGTTAACTTGCACCAACCACCTACATGGTACTGCCCTCAATTTTCCTTGTTGGTTCCCACCATAAGCCTCCATGGTGTCTTGGAAAGAAAGCTGAAGTGTTTCTTTGTCAGTTCCCACCATCAGCGAAACTAGGGCCCTACAACACCTCTGGTCAGCAATGTGTTTTTTTCCCTCTGTGGTCTTTCTTTCTGAAAATGCAAGGGTGTGTTTTCTAGGAGTAATTTACAACCCACCCACAATTCCTACAGAAGAGAAAGAATCTATAAATTAAGAACGCTTCTCTTCCATGAAATTGGGCTGACCCGATTCTGGGAAACCCTGGAACTTCCTCAGTCCTATTTTCACTTTTGCGGATTAACGAAAATTATTACATTTCTTTAAAAAAAAATCATTCTGCAATGGCAATACAATTTACATTTTAACTCATTTTAGCCCCCTATTCTGAACTTTTAAAATAGATAGTTGTTAAATTTCAGTTTACTAAAAAGAAGATCAAAGACTAAGATTCTAATCTCCTGATTGGAGTGGGGTTTTATTCTAGAAAAGTCGCCCCTGTATCTTAAAGACGGATATTTCAATGTCGCCAGTCCCCACTAAAGGCGATGGACAGAACTGAACTTCGTAGGCCTTGGGTGGTAATATGTAAACAGTTGTTTTCAGCAATTGACACTTTGCTTTCAGTCTTCTCAACTGAACTTTGTTATCATGGCAAGCAAAAATTTCTGGGCACCGACATCGCTGTTCTAGAGATTCTCCCTCGTCCCTGCCTTTAAAAAAAAAAAAGCAACATCATTTCTCTTGGGTTGATTTTCTAATTTATATCCTATTTGTGAAATTATGAATACCAAGACTTTTGGAGACTACATATTCAGTGGAATAAAGAAGATAGAATAATAAATGTTAAAATAATTCACTTCTCTTCTTCAAAGAAGAATCACTTCTCTTTTGATGCGAATACGTGCTTTAGACCAAACCACAAGTGAGAAGACAGAATAGATATGATAAGTCCTCCTGGATATCGACTCTCCTCCTGCCACATACCCTGACATTTTGTTTTGCTTACTCTTAATTCCAGCTGGTTAGACTTTTTCACAAAACTACTCTCATATTTTAAGAATCTCTTAAATATAGTTAAGAACCTAAAACGAAATATATTTTATATGCTAAGCTCTGAAGGGCATATCAGTAATTCAACTTATTTGGAAAATAAATAATTAGATATTCAATTTAAGGAGTTGAAGTGTGGTTGCAAACTCTTTAAAAAACATAGTTAAGAAGGTCTTTGAGAAACAGAAAAGATAAACCATAGCAAAATGTTAGCAAAACATAAAGGGTAAGTTAGACTCAGAGATACGTTCTTTAAGTCCTGTCTGTAAGGCACAACAGGTGATTTGACAGAGGAACATCAGGAATTGGGGCCCAAAGTTATGTCAGAAGTAAAGGTACATTGTAGACTCTCCGGATATGCACTGGCTAGAAGAGAGAGCAGCTATGTCCTTCTGTTCTTGGGAGAGCCAAAACTCTCTCAAACTAAGATGGAGTGAGAAGTGAGCACTCTGCAGTAGATTATCTGTAAATGTCCTCTCAGCAAGGACCCCAGCTCATGATGGCCCCAGTTGGTGATGAGCTTCCAAAGAGAATGTTAGGTTAATTGCTGTTAAAAATGTTGGGGTATATGCCATTGAAAAAGAAATAGAGAAGTGGCTATGTTGCTGTACTTGTGTGTCAGAGAGATAGGATGTGCAAAGATTGTGTGTGTATGTACTCATGTACATATATGTATAGTTATTTTTTTTTTTTACTCTCCGTAAATTCTTCTAAAGTCCTGAGTTTGAAGACTTTGCAGTCTTTGAGAGAGGAGTTGAAACCAAACACACACACACACACACACACACACACACACACACACACACACACACACACACACACACACACACGCCAGGCATTGCAGACCATGAGAGGGCAGTAGGGGGCCAAGTTCAGGCCTGAGTGAGAGTTCCCTGGCTGTCCAGCCTTAGCTGCCAGTCTTCTCCCTGCCTCCTGGGCTGCGGGCTGCCACAGCTGCTGACAGCGCGCTGAAAGCGGGTGCAGCCTCAACTCTGAGGAACCAGAAAAACCCGCATCTGCTGAGCTTGGAACTCCCCCTGTGGTTGACACTTGTGCGAGGTGCTTGTGCTGCTTGGCAAACTGGCTTTCGATTTTGGCTTCCCACAAAAGGAGCGGAAGGTGGAGCTGTGGTGGTTCCCAGTGCCCACAGAGCCCCCTCCCCTGGCCACGGCGGCGCACTGACCGCACTTGGTGCCCAGTGCGCAGGCTTGCTTAGCTCTGGGTGTGTGTAACCCTTCACAAATGACTCTCAGTCCATCTGCCTGTGCGACAGACACCGAGACACCCGTGGCAAGTTCCCTCTCTACGAATCAGTTTTGGTACCCCTGCTGTGTTGCAGGCACCTAAGAGGCTGTCACTGTCCCTTAGTTATTTGCTTCCTCACAGTTGATTTATGCGCAGTTCTGCTTGCGTGAAAAATGAGAGTATATTGGAGATCTTGCTTGCCAGTGCAAAGAATTTGGCAGAGAGAGAACGCGAAAGAAAGCAAGTCCCCTTCTAGGCAGTGTGAAATGTGTTGGGCGCCTGGGTTTCATATTCTCACTGCACTGTTCATCCCGCGCTGTCACTTACACCCGTTGTGAGTTTTGGGCGCACACAAACATTTCATTTGAAGCTGGGGAAGCAACAGGCCCTATTTTCCAGAGTTGTGAGGATTAAACCAGTGAACACCCAAAGCGCTTAGAATCAAGTCTAGCGGGCACATCTCAGTTGCTGTGCCAGCTGCTGCTCACATCCATTGCACCCGCTTCTTAGATGGAAGGACCATTCTGGCCACTTTGCCAAAGAAACGCACTAGATCTTGTAAAGTACCCATGTCTCAACGCAAATCTACCCCGTTCCCTCTATAGACAAATATCCCAGAGAGCAGCAAATCTCCCAGGTCGGGGTGCCCATGCAGACCCAGCTTCATGAACCCCCTCCCAAGTAGCCAGAAGCGCCACACCTGGCTAAGGTAAGGCTTTGATTCTTTCAGGGCGCAAAGGCGAACTGCAGGCGCAAAAGCTCTGGTCCCTACCTCTCCTGGCTGAAAGTGTGTTTGAGGGGGTTTCCTACCTGCCCCAGGCTTTTGCCCTTCTTACTGCCGCCGAACGCCAGTCCTTGGTTCATGCCCGCAGATCGATTGGCAGCCTGAGCAGGAGTCTCCCCTCCCAGAGAGGACTTGATGGAGTTGAGTTTGGCCCGCGAGCTGCCTATCTGTGAGCTCTCCACCATCAGCACCGCGGCCAGTAGGAGTAGGCATCGGGATGAATCCTTGCCCCGCATCAACGCGGCCATCTCCGGGTGAGGGGTTCCCGTGGTGGGGTGGAGCCCCGAGATGTGAATGCCAGGAGAGGGAGGACGCCGACACTCAACCCCTCAGGTGGGGCGCGTGGGCTCCTCACAGACACTGTTCCCCCAGCCCTTCTTGGACCAGGCGCCCAGGACTTTTAGAACTCAGTCTCGAGCCTCCAGCGGGGAGCAAACGCGACCCTAGAGAGACCCGCTCCTCTGGCGGGCAGGAAGTTCTGCAGTCCCTGGAAGCAATCAAAGGCCAGGCGCCTTCTCGCCAAGGAGGCGTGACCCAAGGTGCTAGGAGACCCAGCCCTGCAGATCGCACGACGGGCGTCCCTCTGAGTTCTTACACCTCTGAGCTCTCGCCCGATTTTCCGCGGTTGAATCCTTCTTCTTAGCCGCTCACGAAGCTGGGTTCTCCCCAACTTCTTTCCCTTCGGCCTCGGTTGCTGTTCCTTCCTTTCCTGTGCTTTAGCTCTCAACCTTTGCACCTCTCAAGTCCCTCTTTTCCAAGTCAGCACGCTTTATAACTGGTGATCAAGAGTCACCCGTCCCCTGACCGGACTCCGGAGACCTGAGGCTAGCCGAGGTCCCTGAACGCACACTCCCACTGGTGCGGTGAAGAATTGTCCCTTGGTTCACACCAAACACTGCCAGCGATGCAGTGATGCGCTGCGCAGAGGGCCAGTGCTCTCTCTCTCTCTGCTCTCCCCCGCCCTCTTCTCTTTTTATAGCTTCCACAGTGGGTTTTTCCTCCGCCCCCAATTCAAGAGTGACAAAGAGTGAAAACGTTTCTCTCACTCCCCCCCCCCGCACCACGCTCCCACCTCCCCTTCCCCCAGTAGGCGCTCTTTCTGAGACTGTCCCCCCTTTTTCCCCACCTTTCCTACCCTCCCACCCTTCCTTCACCCTGCAACTGAAAACTTGGGGTTCGCCTCCAGAGCCACGTGTGGGGAGCTCTTCGTGGCTGATCACAGCTCTGGGAGTAATCGGGAGTTTGGAAACGGGCGAAAATGAAGAGGAAAAGTTGTCCCCGTTTGTGATGACTGCCACCAACCACCGTTTCTTAATTCTCCCACCCAGCTCCAGCCTCCAACTAGGAGCTCTGGAAAAGCCCTGGAGAATATCTGTAAGTTAACTTAGTGGATTGTTTGCAGCCTAGTTTGACTTTAGCCTGTTGCCTCTCGGTTAATGTGCTGTGTGAGGCTGACCGCTGTAGGTGTACCATGCGGGTGCACATCGGATCCTGGGGGCGCGGCGGGGGGTGGGGGGTGCTGTAGAAACCGAGACCAGAGAACTGAGGAAAGGGAAGGATAAGGGACTATTCTTTCCCATTTGAAGTGCTGGCATCTCTTTGGTTTCCTCATCCCCTGCCCGTTCCCAAACACATATTACACATTTGTCTATCCACGGAGTGGGAGGAAGGGGATAATATTCCTACGTGTGCGACCTCACCGCTTGATGAGGTACCTTTATGATGCCAAAGCGATCTCTTTGCAAAGAGGAAATCCCAGGCAGGAATAAAAAGCCTAATGGGGAACCCGGTGAGTGACTAAATAGGCCGGAAGCTTCTGGTACTGCCTCCTGCGCTGCGCCCTCCCTCTCATTCCTTGGATAGCCTTTTGGGTCAGTCCTTGAGGCTGGGAGTTCTGTACTTTTCTAAAAAAGCCACGGACAGCGCAGGGAGCTACCCGGACGCGCCTACCGGCTTGCAGCACTTGGGGGCGCCAGCCGCAGCCATCAGCCGGGCTCACAAACACTGCAGGAGACAAGCATTGCCAGCAAGCTCTGGGTTTGGAGGAGTTCCGAGCAAAGGTCTTTACTTGTTTCATTAGACAGAGTTCCCTCGTGCAATCACTAACAGTGTCCTTGAGCCACAACTTGGAGTCAGACAGGGGTGGCCTTCTGTGAGGAGCAGATTCCAGCAGCACACTCTGGAATTTTTGGATTTAACTCTCTTCTGTCACACCTAATTCTGGCATATATCAGTCTGTCCAGGAGCCGAATTTAACATGTCGCTAAGGGGAAGGTTAGCGACTCCAGTATTTTCCACCAAACATGCTAAGACCTGAGGTGTGCATTCAGAACTGGGGTGTCCCGGGCAGAGGCAAATATGCACTTTGCTTCCCTGATCTGTGAATCAGCCTGTCCTGAAACTTTCCATGAATACGGGGTGGTGGCCATGATTTTTTTTTTTTTTAATATACAACCAAACAGGAAATAAAGCATGTCTTATCTTTGGATGCTTATTGCCTTGTAGTAAAATTTATTTGTTTGTTTGTTTGTTTTTGAGGCCATGTTCTGGTTATATTGCTCAAGCTGACTCCAATCTAGTAATCCCCCTGCCTCCTCCTCCTCCCCCTCCAAAGTACTGAGATTACAGAAAACTGCCATGATTTCATCAGGTCTTCTAGTTAATGGTTGCTTCTCTTTTTTAAAATACATAAGAATAACATGCATAACTCTTGAAGAAACGATGCCAGTGAAAACCAGTGGCCATACATATTTAAGACAGTCAAAGATGGTGGTTATCAAGGGCTAGGAGAAAGGAAGGGTCAGGAGTTAGTGTATCAAGAGGCACAAAGTCTTTATATATCAAGATAAATAAACTCTGGATATTTGCTAAATCACATAGCATCTAGCGTAAACAGCAATTAAATGAACATCTAACATTGTCTAAAGGGAAGATCTCTTGGTGAATGGCCTTACTACAATAAACAACACACATGAGCGTATAATTTTTGGCAGCAAAACTTGTGTGTGCATGTGTGAGCCCAAGAATGAATTTGTATGTCTTTAAGGATAAGCAAGTCTTTACTGGAAGACAGACAGAAGAATGGTCTGTATGTTGTGAATAAGCTCTTAGTCTTTACAAATGGATAGTATTTTTTGTTTTTGTTTTGATTTGATTTGCCAATCAGGAAACTGTAGCTAGAAGTTTCTCAGGTCCCGTGGCCTGCTTATAAAATAATCACCCAGAAGCTTATATTAATTAAAACTACTCAGTCATTAGTTCAGACTTATTGCTGACTAGCTCTTACACTTAAACTCAGCCCATTTCTGTTAATCTATATGTGGCCATATGTTCTGTGGCTTTACTTGTGTGCCATTACATGCTGCTCCCTGGATAGCAGGCTGGTGTCTCCTAACTCAGCCTTCCTCTCCCAGAATTCTTCTCTGCTTATCCCACCTATACTTCCTGCCTAGCTACTGGCCAATCAGCATTTTATTTATCAACCATTCATAGCATACAGAGCAACATCACCCATCAGGAAACATTACAAAAATGCAAGAAATTAAGTTACAAATGTATTGATTCAGATATTTGAAAGAACATTTTATTATTTTTTACAACTTTTACTTGTTATCAGTGCATGTATAAGGGGTGTCCATGTGTCATGGCATCTATGGAGGTCAGAGGAGAGCTTGATGGAGTTAGGTCAGTCTTTCTATCTTTGCATGGCCTCCTGGAATCAAATTCCAGTCGTAAGACTCACACGAAAGGTTCTTTTATTAGCTGAGCCACCTCTGACAAATATTTTAGAGCAAAAGAAGAAAAACAATGTATTTAAATATATATGCAACATATCGCCATATGTTCATTTGAAAAGAAATAGAATTTGACCCTAGTTGAAGAAAAAATCAAGTTAATAAAGAAAAATAGGAAGAATAATTGCCTGTTTTTTGTCACTTCACACTTTATATCCAATCAAAATTATATAATACACACACACAGACTCTCTCTCTCTCTCTCTCTCTCTCTCTCTCTCTCTCTCTTTCACACACACACACACACACACACACACACACACACACACACACACACATCTCCATATGCACTCTGTTCAAAAAATTAATGTCCATCACAGTGTACTTACTGAATAAATCCCTCTGATCTGAGGACCATGATAGTGAATCTATCTAGAAGTCAACACAACACAAATAAACTCCAGGAACAGACAAAAGTACAGTTAAACTCAAGATTCACATGGTCATATCAGGCATGGCAGTGGCACAAGGACCCAAGAGATAGAGGCAGGTGATTGTTGTGAGTTCAAGGCCAGCCAGATCTACATAGTGAGTTCCAGGCCAGCCAAAAATACACAGTGAGACTCAGCCAATAAATAAATAAATAAATAAATAAATAAATAAATAAATAAATAAATAAAAAGAAAAGTTCACATAAAAATTTCTTTTGCAAATATTCTCCTACATTAAATGAAATCAAATATATGGGAATAAAACACTTAAATACAAACAACCACACCTTAGACTAAAAAGGAAGCAAAAACTGATTTCATCGGTGACTGAAATGCTGTGTATATGATTATTTGGCATACACAAACACACATAATTTATAAATACAAAGAGATACAAAAATAAAAAAATTCAATAACTGAATAAGCCCATGCCTTGGGCTTCTGTCATAAATCTACACATATTTTATCCTTGTGTTTTCTTAAATAGGAAGAAACACCATCATATTTCACTTGGGAGAATTGTTTTTAGGTCCTGGGCAATAACATAATTAGAGAGAAAATGCATTGTACATAGAAAAAGTCAGATCTCTCCTGCCCAGAAGAAAGTGTGTATTATTCATTGGCTACACCTGCCCTCTCCTCTCTCTTCCTCTAGCTTTGAGCCATTTTGGCTCCATTAAAAAAGAAACAACTTTCTCAGCAATTGTTCAGAAACCAGGTTTCCTTCTAATACTTAACCCTAAAACAACATTTGCCCTTTTTATTCTCATTTGCAGCTCCTTACTATTGTACTCTATCATCCAGCTTCCTGGATTAGTACTTCCCTTAATGATTCCTTTAGCAGTCCCTTATGATATTGCTGCACAATTAGTAAGTGTGGGGCCATGTGAAAACAGAAGTGAATGGATGGAGTCCATGACATTGTTGAGGCTTACAGCCTACTGTTAAGCCCTTGACATCTACCTCTAGCACCTGTGAGGGTTAGCTGCTCTGAGCTCTCTTCTATTCTTGCCCACTGTTGAAATTGTTTTTCCATTAATAACTTTTTTTATTTTGAACCAAGCAGAGCAGAGACAGCTCTTGGCTGAACTGTTCTGTATTACACTCATAGCATATTAATAATTCAGCATTTATGTCAGTACAGGTCATGGTCAATGCAAGAGTTACAGACTGAAGAGGGCAGTGGGTGAATTTGCATAATAACTCATGAAAATCTTCTCAAAGAATGATGGATGCTCACTGGATTGTGGGGGAATGGAGAGATGTGAGAGAATAAAAGAGAAAGATATCCCTAATAGTGGGAAGGAGATGGACCATGCCTCTGGGAAGAAGTCACAGACACCTGCATGGCATCAGCCAGTCTGTTCTTTAACAAGGAATGAAGCACAGCTGGTATGCAGGTGGTACGTGGTCAAAAGTACTGGCCAATGGGGTAGTGTCAAAGGCCTTTGTGTCAACCAACAATTTCAGATTAAAATTTTGCACAATGGTGGTCAGAAACAGAATTCTCTGAATTCAGTTTCTCCTAGGTTATCTACAGCTTCCAAGTTAGTGAATTCATGTGACTGTGGAAATAAAAATGATTAAAGACATCCCCTAGAGATTTTCTTCCCATAATGCTTTCACATGCATCTTAAGAATGGCCTATACTTCACATGTTTGAGTTTGAACCCTCACAAATAGCCACAGTAAGGTCATTAAGAATAAAGTATTAGATC